GGCATCACAAAGTTCACAAGGCCCTTACTATTAAGTACCAATAAATCCCATTTTTGACGAGCTTTCATTTGGTATAAAATTCATTATATGCTCTTCCCTGAAATAATATTATTTCCTATGAGGTATCATGCCGGCTGGCAACGCCCATATTTATCGTCTATTTTTTCATTTTTTTTAACAAAAAAAAGACAAATGTTACATGATTAATTAGAAAAATTCCTTTTCCTTGTGATGAAGCAACTGGTTTAATGATTCAAATTCCTTTCTCACGTTGAAAGGCAGCTAAAAATAAAACGTTCATAAAATAATCGAAAAAAAAACCAACGATAAAACATAATACCTGAAAAATCCTCAAATTCATAAGGTAAAAGAAAAGTTGTTGGAATAAGAAATAAAATTTTTAATTCCTTTTTCTTGTTGCATTTTTTGAATATTTTTTTAAAATCGATCTTTTTGTTTCATTTCATATGATCTTTATTTTAAATAAATACCTGGGAAAATGATTAACATGTTGAAATGGATTAAGTGATCTTAATGTAAAGGGTTTCATTCCACCACCAGTCCACATTATGTTAAATTATGAACATGATGGATGAACTTCACGAAATCCATGTCCTTCAAGAATATTTCTTATTAATTTTGTTTCATTTTTAACAAATTTAAATGTAAGACAATGTTTTTCTCCTATTTTTCTTGCTTCTGGACAACGACCACAAACAACTTTAGGTGAAAATTGTATTATTGAAATACGTTTTGAACCATAACGAATTAAAATTTGGTATAGGTGCTCTACATATATCAAATTAAATATTTAAAATAAAACAAATTTAATTGAATAAAACTAACTTGCATCGTCCATTTTGTTGATTATCTTCATTAAGTTCATCAAAACTTTCTTCTTCCTCATAACAAATATCATCAGGTGAATCTTCTCCACCATCATATTAGCTGAATCAACACGTGATGAACGTGAAATTATTTCATATTCATTCGGATTATTTCCAATAGCTAAAGCCATCAACTGCTTTTTTTCGATTTTAATCCTCAATTTATTATTTCAGATCATCAGTTATTTTACAACCATATTTTCATTATCATTACTTAGCATTGTAACGATTAAACCTCCACCTTTTTTTGTGGAACTCACGTATATTTTCGAAGAAAATAGTGAATGTAAGTTTTAAGTTCGAGGTTTTGCGGCTCCCCCCTCCCCTTACAGACCATAGCAACCAAAAAAGAGCATTACATACATATACCCCCCCCCCCCCACCACCACCCCCCGACAAACCACAAACACAAACACACCAT